GCACTTGTCAGCGTATCCACTGTTAGCGTAACACACCCGCTTTAAGGACACTGACTGCTATTCAATCTATAACAGTGAAAAAAGATTATTTTGTTTTAAAATCCAAACTATTGTGACACCAGATCTAATTAGTGGCACTGGTCAGCGTATCCACTGTTAGCGTAACACACCCGCTTTAAGGACACTGACTGCTATTCAATCTATAACGGTGAAAAAAAGTGTTTTTTGTTTTTAAATACAAGCTTTGTGTCACCAGATCTAAGTGGTGGCACTGGTCACCGTATCCACTGTTAGCGTAACACACCCGCTTTAAGGACACTGACTGCTATTCAATCTATAACAGTGAAAAAAGTTTTTTGTTTTTAAATCCAAGCTATTGTGACACCAGATGTAATTGGTGGCACTGACTGGGGAAATGGGCACAGTATGCACTGTGAGCCTGACACAGAAGCTGGCAGCAGTGGCAGACAACTGACTGCTATTCAATCTATAACAGTGAAAAAGTTTTTTGTTTTTAAATCCAAGCTATTGTGACACCAGATGTAATTGGTGGCACTGACTGGGGAAATGGGCACTGTGAGCCTGACACAGAAGCTGGCAGCAGTGGCAGACAACTAAGTGCATTTACATTACATAGAAAAATAAAATAAAAAAAAAGCATACCCTTATCCCTAACCTAGCTATGCTTTTCCCTATCTTATGAACAGCAGCTACACTTTCCCTCCTCTTACTAAGCATGCAGCTTGAGAATGAATCTAAAATGGATGCTGTCCAGTAGGTGGGAGGGTCTGCTAGGGAGGGTGTGCTGCTAATTGGCTGGAATGTGTCTGCTGACTGTGAGGTACAGGGTCAAAGTTTACTCAATGATGATGAATAGGGGGCGGGTCGAACCGCGCATATGTTCGCCCGCCGTGGCGAACGCGAACATGCTATGTTCGCCAGGAACCGTTCGCCGGCGAACCGTTCGGTACATCACTAGCAGCGAGGTGTGACTAGAGCTGCATAAACAAAGTGATTTAACTCCTAAATGGCGAATCGAGCAGTGAGACTGCAGGGGCATGATCTGTACACCAAAACTGCTTCATAGAGCTAAAGTAGTTTTCGTGACTATAGTGTCCCGCTGACAGCTGAAAATACAACAGAATTGTTCCAGTTTGGTTATTCTGAATAAAACATCTTTAAATCCACATTGAATTTACTTAGAATTCCCTGCAATTCACACTTTAATAAATAACAATTTTGGTACTGCGTTCTGTTGGTTCTTGTATTTAAACAAGGGCATCTGGTTGTAATCTCTGAACAGTGTTCCGTTACTTGTGGACTTGGAATGATGCAGAGGAAAGTAGAATGCAGGGCAGAAAGCGGTTCTCCCAGTGACCTGTGCCCAGCTCATGTGAAGCCCACTGCAAGAAGAACATGTGTGTCTAATAAATGTAAGTGATTATGATTAGATATAAGGAATATCATTTGTATTTCTGAACAGATTGCTGGAGACAAAGTAAAAAAAGCTTTCTTTAATTTAAATGTGCATGCATGTAGCAATGGTTCATACCAAAGATACCAAATTATTATATCATATATCATAACAAAGCATTTATATTATATATATTATCACTCATAGATTTTCATGTATTCAGATAGAAACACATTTTTCTAGCAGTATAATTTTACAAATTGAAATAAATAAATATTTAAAATATAAATTCCTATTTGACACCCAAGATCACTATATTCTTAACCATCCTTGGGAAACTGAGAATTAATTCCAATATATCCAAAACATGACTTCACCAGTAAGACCATATACCCTATTTAATTTTACCCCTCAGAAGAGCAGCTGTAGCAACAGGGCCACCATCAGGGCATGACAACCATAACGGCTGTCATGGGCCGGGCAGTCCTGGGGGCACCGAACTGCTCTGGGAGTCCTATCCCCACATTCCTTATGTGCACGTATAGTGATTTTCGCTATATATATGAGCACTGCAGGCTCCCTGCTACCTGTACATTGCAAAGGGGGAGAGGGGGGGAGGGACCAGCAGCACACTCTGTCCTCCTTTCCAGCTGCTGTCTGTCTAACTTTACTTAGCTCTCCGGCCGTCAGAGCGTTACCACAGGTTACCATGGCAATGCTCCGCACAGCAAGCAGGCCGGTCTCGCGAGAGTTAGTCAGAGAGGAGCTGGAAAGGGAAGACAGTGTGTGCTACTGGGCATCCCCTCTGCAAATTACATCAGTTGGCTCCCTCCACAATGCGATCTCCCCCCTCCCTGGCAAAGTAAGAAGCAGGGATGGGGGAATAAAATAAAGATATACACAACTAAATGAAAAAAATACTCCACCTCCCCCTATTTTACACACACTGCCTCCTTACAAGCACACACTCTGCACTCACTACACGCACACTACATTCACTAAACACACTTTGCACTACAAAGACACACACTAAATTCACTAAACACACTTTTCACTCACTACAAACACACTACATTCACTAAACACATTTTGAACTACACACACACTACATTCACTAAACACATTTTGTACTCACTACAAGCACACTACATTCACTATACACACTCTGCATTCACCACAATCATACTACATTCACATTCACTAAACACATTTTGCACTCACTACAAACACGCAACATTCACTAAACACACTTTGCATTCACTATACACACTCTGCATTCACTACAAACACACTACATTCACTAAACACATTTTACACTCACTACAAACACACTACATTCACTATACACACTTTGCATTCACTAAAAACACACTGCATTTACTATACACATTTTGCACTCACTACAAACACACTACATTTACTATACACACTCTGCATTCACTACAATCACACTACATTCACTAAACACACTTTTCACTCACTACAAACACACTACATTCACTATACACACTCTGCATTCCCCACAATCATACTACATTCCCGTTACACATTTTGCATTCACTACAATCACACTACATGCACTATACAGACTTTGCCCTCACTACAAACACACTACATTCACTATACACACTTTGCATTCACTACAAACAAACCATGTTCCATATACACACTCTGCATTTACTACAAACACACTACATTCACTATACACACTACGTTTCCTATACACACTCTGCATTCACTACACACACACTACATACACTATACACACTCTGCACTCACTACACTTTACACACTCAACATTCACTACAAACACACTACATTCACTATACACACTACATTCATTATACATACTCTTCAGTCACTATGCCCACCCTACATCCACTACAAAAACACACACTCTGCATTCACTATACACGCACTACGTCCACTACACAAACACACGCTCTGCATTCACTATGCACATCTACATTTACTACACACACTCTGCATCTAATGCATACAAATATTACATACATTACACAAAATGTACAATCTGCATCCACTATACACACTGCATCCATGACACGCATACTGCATCCACTACACACATTCTACATCCACCATACACACACCACATTCAGTACACACACACTTCCTCCTTGTGGGTGAACTTGGGGCAGGCCTGTTGGTTGACTCGGGGTCAAGCACACGGAGCTGTGTCCGGGGCCCCAAAATTTGAGAAAGAGAAAGAATAAACAAACATACAATTTGACAAACTGAGCCAGGCATAACAGGACAAAGGGGAAACACACGGGTTAAAATAATGGAATGTCTTACAGGTTAGGTTTAGCATTATTTTTGCGCTAAAGACTATCGCAAAACATTGCATGAGCTTTATGGCTAGTAGACCAATTTGTTCTTAACCCCTTTATGACTAATGGGGCTGTTATCATATATAAATCGATTTACCTAACACAGTTGTTCTTAAGTTTTTTGATTACAACCTAAATGACATATACAGCATTTACTTAGAGATCAAATCTGTCTCTGAATTAGTTTAAATCCTTTGATAGAGAAGCTCCACACCTCAATAAAAGGTACAATTCACCACAAAAGCATCTCAATCACAGCAGTTGGTGGACAAGTGGTTTCTGCTGCACTGGGTGATCTGTTATAACTTTTTCAGAGTTATCTCCACTGACTTGAACAGCATGTTATAACAGCACCAAACAAAACACTCCCCAACCCATAACTCACCAATAGAGTGAATAAAGCAATAAACATTAGTTTCTCCATGATAACCTGGCGCTCTCAGACAATGAGGTAGCACTACAGGGCTTTTCTTAGGAGAGTTACTGTAAGCTCCGTGTCTTGGAACTTCCAGGTCTTTGTTGGATATGGTGGAGCTGGTGACCTGCCTACCAGACCTCAGGTAAGAATTCACACCATTCTAAAATGGTATGTCAACTTACAAGGGGAGGCGGGTGCCCGGCCACTCCTGGCACCATAACCACTACAGCAAGCTGTAGTGGCTATAGAGCGTTCCCTTAAAATGGATGCTGTTAGCCAGAGAAACATTTGAGCCCTAATTGCAGCCTCTCAAGAGGTCATACAATCAAACTATTCATCTGAAAAAGAAGTGGATAAAAATGTTGCATATTATTATTTAACAGTCATAATATCTTGTTACTTTTTTAACAGCTGAGCCAAACATTTGGTATCTGTTTATACATTTTTAAGATGTCAGCTTTGTTGAATATAACGAAATATATACCAATTGGCTTTATAAGCTTTACTTACTTATCATCCTGTTGTTTAGTGTCTGATGTTGTTTAGTGGTTTGTTTGTTTTTACAAATGCATCGCTTCAATAAGAAGGTGCATTCATCTAATTCCTCTTTGTTAACCTTGTCTTTATTGACTGTATTTCTTTAAATGGGCCATTTGAATACATTTCCCATAATGATTAGTCATCGCTGTTCTAGACTGGTTTCCAAGTAAGATAATGAGTGTGGATTTACTGTAATCTCTTACAGGGATTGACAGAGAGTGGTAACAATATATAATGTCCTTTGCAGCCCCCTAGTGACTGACTGATGTCATGAAAACAAGACTGATGTATCAATTATCAAATTGTATACAGACATAGCCAATGCTGTTGGATCTTACTATGCACGTGCCTACTTTAACTTTTCAATATTTATATTTTATGCAGACCCCTTTGATGACTTGGACTGTCTATATAAGTTCTAGCCACTCTGTTACATGGGTTTAACCCCTTGAGGACACAAAATATGTGACATGTCATGATTCCCTTTTATTCCAGAAGTTTGGTCCTTAAGGGGTTAAATTAACATTACGGTTGATATATTTATTAAATATAACATTTGTGTTTTGGGTTAGTTTTACAGTTGTTTCCATGGTTATGTAGACATTGTGAGTCACACATTATGATTTCATTTTTTTTCTTTAATGTTTAAGGTGATTTTAAAAGCTGCAAAGAATTACGCTTAATCAGTAAGTTACAAACAGATGGAGAATATACACTGAACATTAACAACAGGCGAGCAAAGGTATGATGTCTCAAAGTAAATAAGAAAACATGTAGGCACAAAGTTAAATATTCTGATGACATCCAATAGTTTAATGGAGGGAACAAGCAAAGAATGATGCAAATGTTTTGGGCACAAATAGAGATGGGTTGATGACTGGGTCAAAGCATCTCCAAAACAGCAAGGCTTATGGGGTGTTCCAGATATGAGGTGGTTAGTACCTGCCAAAAGTGGTGCAAGGAAGGACAACCAGTGAATTGGGTTTCCCATACACAGTTTGCTGGCAGGGCTTCGTAGCCGCAAAGCAGTCAGAGTGCCCATGATGATGCCTGTCCAATGGAACTTGAGCATCAGAACTGGACCATGAAGCAATGGAAGAAGGTTGCCTGGTCGGAAGAATCATGTTATCTTTTAGATCAGGTGGATGGTCAGGTGAATGTGTGTCATTTACCTGGTGAAGAGATAGCAGCAAGATGCATAATGGGAAGAAGGCAGGCCTGCTAAGGAGGTATTATTCTCTGGGCAATATTCTGCTGGGAAGCCTAAGGTCTTGGCATTCATGTATATGGTGTTTTGACATGTACCGCCTACCTAGAAAGTGTTGCAGACCATGTACACCACTTCATTGTAATGGTGTTCCTTGATGGCAGTGGCCTCTTTCTAAAGGATAATGCACCCTGTCACACTGCAAAATTTTTGAGGAAGGGTTTGAGTAACATGACAAGTGTTGCCTTGGCCTCCAAAGTCCCCAGATGTAAACTCAATTGAGCATCGGTGATATGGGCTGGAGCAACAAATCCAATCCATGTTTTGTTGCTCCAGCACGTCCCACCTCGCAACTTGCAGGACTTAAAGGATCTGCTCCTAATGTGTCGGTGCCAGATACCATGGGACATGTTCAGAGTTCTTGTGGAGTCCATGCCTTGATGTATCAATGCTGTTTTGGCAGCATGAGGGGGTCCTACACAATATTAGGCTGGTGTATTTAATGTTGAGGATGATTAGTGTGTATATATATATATATATATATATATATATATAGTGATATATATATATATATATATATATAAAGTGATATATATATATATATATATATATATATATATATTTACACACAAGTCCAAACGTTTGCAAAATAAATGCCTGGTGCCCAGTCACAAATTCATAAATATCTACAAAAATACTGGCACTCCAAGGTTTTCATTCAGGTGGATTCTTTATTTGATGAATTCCAGCAATTCAACATTTCAGTCCCTCTTGGGAACTTTCATCAGGACTTCACAAGTAAAGTATTGCACTAATACAAGCTTTATATAGGACAAACATAGATCTTAACGCTCTAGGGAATCCATACGTGAGGGGGGAACCAATAGCCGATTGGCATTTCTGGTTCCCGTAGTTTCGCAGCGATGCTCCTTAGGTTCATTGGATGAGACCCTCACTGTTGACAGGGGTGAGAATTTCGTGTTGCCCGGGACATGCCGGACACACAGCTGATTGAGATGCTGCTTAAGGGGTGAGTTAAGATCTTTGTTTGTCGATATTTGTTGTCGGTATTTTTGTCGATATATGTGTATATACCACACCATATTACAAGGTATGTTCTGTAAAAACCTCTTCCTTTCTTACAGGTTTACTGTTCGGGAATGCAGTCTGATAGCCCCAAAGAATACATAACTTTGGTGAAAGGGGAAGCAGACAACTTTTCAGAAGTCTATGGATACAGGTATTGTATTACAATATGATAAGAACAGTACTGTCGTGTACATCAAAGGTATAAACAAAGGACCCTAATAGGGGCTATTTTAATGGGTTCATAGTCCAAACAGTGAATATAGCATTACAATTTCCTGGCATATAGCTTTATTATGATTTATTTCTATTCCGACCTTAATCAATGCACTAGAATCATTAACTCACAGTATCCACAGAATCATGGTAATCCAGTAGTCAGCCTGAATGCATGATATTTATAAAAAAAATGACACACATGTACAGTGGAGTTGGTGCTGAGCTTTGGGTTAGTTCACCTCCACCTCTGGGCAATTTGTCCCTTTGAACGGGTTTGCTAAAAGCAACATCAAAGCATTTAAAAAAATATATATATATTTTAAATGTGCCTGAATGTGGCAATGATTTATACCCAAAAGAGTGATTCTAAAAATTACATATATAGTGTTCCATCATGCATACATTGCTCGGACTGTAAGAATTCTTGCAGTGGTGAGTATAGGATGTATGGGGTGGATAATATTTTAAACTTTATCTTTACGGGTTGTGTCAAGACCACTGTCCTGCATGTTTCAAATAAAAAATAAATAGAAAAATGTAAGGAGACCTGCTTTGAGTCTTGACCATTGGAAAAGTCACCAGAAATCAATAAGGTTCGGAGAGAACCGATGCTTTAAAATATGAACATTATTAAATATGGCTGCAAAGTCGTATTGCCACCAAATACCTGTTACTAAACTTCTTACACTCTGTTCTTCTTGATACTATTATCTAGTCACATTTTTAAATGCTAGGTTGCTGCTGTGCTAGTTAAATTAACACTATAGGGTCAGGAACACAAACGTGTATTCCTGACCTTATAGTGTTTAACCCACCATTTAGGTGGTTTGCCCCCTTTGTGTCCTTAGAAAAGGTGAAAACTTACCTTATTTTGCTGACCCTGGCCCTGCCCCAATTCTTCCTTGATTACATCATCGGAATTGCTGATCTTTAGCCACATGGAAAGCATTGGATAGGCTGAAATCGGCAAAGAGGCGGGATGGGGCACTATAGTGTCCCATTAAGAAATTCATATTTTCAATTTCTCATCTACCACACATAGGCAGGGCCGTCTTTAACACGGGGCAAACGGGGCAGCTGCCCCGGGCCCAGTCCCTGCTGGGGGGCCCGAGGTAACTACCCTGTTTGCCCTCTGCCCACAAACTATGGGGGCCCATCGGGTGGCCCATGCACTTAGGGCCACCCAGTGGGCCTGTGTCAGCAGGGGCCCGGTCGGGCGCTGTGGCGCTTTAACAGCGCGACCGGGCCCTTGCTTTTCGGCAGCACTGGGAGGAAGTGACAGCCGTGCGTCACTTCCTCCCACAGAAACAGGAGCCGCGCGGGAGGAAGGCGGACCAGCTGTTCCGGAGGGGGCCAGGCCGGGAGAGCTTAACTCCCAGTCACCCCAGCCAGCCCACTGGACCCCAGGGAAGCCACCCTCCAGGAAAAGGTAAGAAACTGGAGGGTGGTTATCAAATTTTGCATGAGTGCAAGTCTGTCAGTGTATCTGTATGTCTGTGTGTGTGAGAGTCTGTCAGTGTCTGTGTGGTTCAGTATGTCTGTATGTCTGTCAGTGTGTCAGTATGTCTGTGTGTGAGTCTGTCAGTGTCTGTGGTTCAGTGTGTATGTGTGTTTCAGTATGGCTGTCTGTGTATGTCAAGATGTGTGTTTGTCTGTCAGTGTCTGTGTGTATGTGTGTTTCAGCATGTCTGTCTGTCTGTATGTGTGTATGTGTGTTTCAGCATGTCTGTCTGTCTGTCTGTGTGCCAGAATGTCTGTCTGTGTGCCAGTATATCTGTCTGTGTGCCAGTATGTCTGTCAGTGTGTCAGTATGTCTGTGTCTGTGAGTCTGTCAGTGTCTGTGTGTTTCAGTATGGCTGTCTGTGAGTTTCAAAATGTCTGTATGTGTGTATATCTGTCAGTGTCTGTGTCTGTGTGTTTCAGTCTGTCTGTGTGTGTGTGCCAGAATGTGTGTATGTCTGTCAGTATGTCTATGTGTGAGTCTGTCAGTGTGGTTCTGTATGTCTGTGTTTGTCAATATGTCTGTCAATGTCTGTGTATATGTGTGTTTCAGTATGTCCGTCTGTCTGTGTGTATATGTGCCAGTATGTCTGTCAGTGTATCTGTATGTCTGTGTGTGTGAGAGTCCATCAGTGTCTGTGTGGTTCAGTATGTCTTTGTGTATGTGTGTTTCAGTATGGTTTTCTGTGTGTGAGTCTGTGCCAGTACGTCTGTCAGAATGTGTCTCTGTATCTGTATGTTGTCCATTTGTATTTGTGTGTGTATCTGTATGTGTCAGTGTTTGTATCTGTATATCTGCATGTGTGTCAGGTTGTGTATCTGTGTGTCTGTCTGTCAGTGTGTGTGTCGGTGTATCTATAAGTAGTCAGTGTGTGTACCTTTGTATCTGCATGTATGTCAGTGTTTGTATCTGTGTGTGTGTCTATGTGTGTGTCAGTGTATCTATATGTGGTCAGTGTGTATCTGCATGTGTGTCAGGTAGTGTATTTGTGTGTATCTAGACGTAGTCAGGGGGCCCAAGTAAATGCTCGCCCAGGGTCCAATCTAAATTAAAGACGGCCCTGCACATAGGTGAGGTTGGCCCATTTGGTAGATCCTCCCTTGAACATAGGGTATATATGTAATGGATACCAATACTCCAGCTGAGTATATCCGCGAAGAATCTCCCAAGTCCCCAGCGCAGTAGTGGTTATAGTAGTGAATATAGCCCCCAATCCCCCAAACATTAGCCTAGACTTAATGAAGGGGTAAAATTATCTCTTTAATCCAGGCTCAATGGCCTGCTTTTATACAATACAGGGACACAGTACACACACCGACACTCCCATAAACACCCCCCCAAAATGTCCCTAAAATGTCATGTCACCATGACTAAGCATAAAATGACAAATTATAAAAAACACACAATAATACGTATTTCACGTAGAGGAACCCTCATCGTTTATACATCCCCGGACAGCCTGGATCTGAGTGCCCAAGTTGTCCAAATAGTGCTTAGATCCCACAAATACAGCCACATCGCCACTAGGGTGAAGTTTTGACCGACCGCTCATTAGGCGCCTGCACAAAAATAGTTCCATAGATTTAGAGGAAGTGTTCGGGAGTTCCAAAATGTACAAAAAAGGAGAACGGTTCTCCTGGCTCATTGCCTCTGTTCGGAACAACCTACCGAACAAATCTCTTCTGGCTTGCTGCGAAAGGAAGCAGGCGTTCATATAGTTTCACCGGTGTTCGCGCCGTCGAGTGTCCATCTTGGAATTCCAGACACTCAACGACCAAGTCCCGCTGCCTCCTCTCGTGCGACAAGATGGTTGACATTTTCTCCGCCATGTGTCGTTCGGTTATACGAATAGCGACCACACAGAGAGAGCACTTAATTCTTGCGGTTTTCTTTGTACTTAATGAGCCAGGGGGTGGTTGGTGTTCGGTACTTTTATAATCCTGAATGTGAGGAAGGCATAAAACCAAGTTTAGAATGGGTTCCCGAACTGAGAAGGCAACATATGGGTTTTGTCACAATAAATTTAAGTGAATATCATTTGTTATTATTCATTTACTTACATATAAATACCCATACCATCAGGAGGCTGATACCATCACATATGAGATTAAAGAATGTAGCCATATTTATGTTGTCTGTACTAGTTTGGTTACCTACATCAAAAAACCCTGATGATGTCATCAGTTGATAAGCTATATGTGTATTCTCAGGAAAGATAATGAGTTTTAAATTACTATGTATTCTTTTAGATATACCTTATTGAGCCCATATGTGTAATTCTTTTTTTTTATTTGATCTGCTATCTATATTTTGTTAGGCTGAAAAATCCGTACGAGTGCCCTTTCAATGGAAGCAGAAGACATGACTGCGCATGTAAAAATGACTACCTTGCAGCAGGATACACCACGTTTAGTAAAATCCGACTGGACCTCATCTCTATGCAAATTAAAAGTAGGTTTAATCACGTATACTTTGACAAAGTTATTTGGTTAATGAACTTGTTTTTGGAGTAGCCTGGAAGAATGTCTGTGTCTCCTTCTTACTTTTGGTAGTTATGAGTTGGGCTAAGGTACCAAGTCACTTAATATAGAGAATATGGCATTTCCTGATTTTCTAATGTGCAGTGCACCCACCAACCAGTACTTACCCCTGTGAAACTCACCTATAAATAATTGTAGCTACAAATTAACATATTTTGAGTACAGATTTTATTTTTTAACTAAGTGGATACAGTGTTTACCATATGACTATATGCAATAGAACAGGGGTAGGCAACCTTTTAGCAGCACTGTGCCAATATAGGATTGTGATGTCCCGTAGCGTGCCGGTCCTATTTTTTTAATTTGAGGTGTGTATGCTGCCGTATTCTGCTTGTGTTATTTATATTGTAATTGCTATGTATCAGTGTATTTGTGCGTATATAAGCTATTATATTGTATATGTGCATTAGTAGTTTATGGTATCGTGTATGATACATATGAACGTGGACTGTGTATGGGGGCTGCTTGTGGAATTGTGTGTGTGTGTGGATGGATATGTCACATTGTGTGTTTGGTAGTGTGTGTATGTGTGGGGCTGTTTGGGGTATTGCATGTGGGGTTGTGTGCATGTATGTGGATTGTTAGTGGTGTTTAGTTTGTGCGGATTGTCTGTATGTTTGTGTGTGGGCTGTTCATATTATTTGTATGAGGGGAGGCTTATTGTGCATTTCTGTGTATATCTAGCAGTGTGGGTAGCTTCCCTGGGTTCCAGGCTGGCCAGGTACAGGAGCAGTAACAGCAGCTGCAGGCTGCTCTACTACAGTGTGGATTCCCATTCACAAGTGCTGGGAGGCAGTGATCTGAGATCACTTCCTCTATGTGCTGCAATGCATAAATTGAGGATTTTCCTTCACCACCTTTTCGTATTAGCAGATATCTGAAGTTTCACTGGGACTCCTGATAGGCCAGAGCCTGTTTGGCTCTAGCAGCCCTGAGTGCTGTGCAAAGACACCTTGAGTGCCGTAGGTTGCCTACCCCTGCAATAGAAACAATGCAACGGGACACATGTTAATCACAAATGATTGATTTAAAGGTTAGATCCACTCAATTTGAATCCCTTAACAAGAATTATAAACCTACTTAAATAAATATTCCACCCTTAATCTTATCAACCAACTAAGTTCCGGAGTTTGCTTCATTTTAAAATTTGGGATAAATATAATCTATATACAATAATCACTACTTATTAATTTGCAGTTACTTTTGATTTAATCCCTTACTGACTTTTTGAAATCCTATGCATTCGTAACTTTTATACATTTTTGCTATGTGTTTGTTCCACTGTACTTCTGTAATACCAAGGGGCATTATTCTGAATGGAAGCCCCATGCTAACTGAGGTTGATAGGCATAGTGATTGCTGGGGTCTGTTGTCTCTGAGATCACTTGTGTTAGAGGACCTTCATCTCACAATTTTTTGTTGCTATTTTTACTATTTTCAGCTATGGCAATGATTCTGTCCAATAATTTCCCTGTAATTTTTCACCGAGATGCATTTCTGTTCTGTTTTTAGTCTTTCTTTGTGCTTTTTTAGCTACAGATCTCAGTTTTGCCTACACAGTACACGGAAGAGCAGTTCCGTTTGCCACAGCAGGTGACTGTTACAGCGCCACCAAGTGTCCACAGGTAGGAGGGAATTAAATCACATCTATATTTATTCCAACCATCCAGTTGATAACATCAGTCACAATGGTATCACATAACATCATTATCTTAATGTTGCATGAGTAAAATAATATTGTACAGGTTCGTATCCCTACATTACCCAGGGATTAGTAAAATATCTTTGTTGAAAAACAAACAAATTAAATAAACAAAAACATATTTCTAACTGCACGACACTGAAACTCAACTTGACTCATTCAATCAATTGATTAATTAAAATTTGTTTTATCTGCTAAGGTAATACCTACTGATACGTATGTTTACAAACAATTACTAAACAGAGAATCAACAGCACTAACAATAACATAAACAAATAGATTTTCCGTCTAGTAGGTTTACACTCGTATAATATGAATATGTATCGAATTATGTGACATATCACTGCAAATTCATTCCATTATTATTGTTTTGTTTTTAAATTACAGGGGCAATTTAGTATTAATCTTTCAGGAACAGATTTTCGGATATCAAACACGGCTAAGTGGATTGCTCAAGGGAATTATGCAACTGTTAATGTTCACAAATCGCAGGTTGGTAAACTGCCCTATGCAAGTCCATATAGAATAAAGTATAGTGATGTAATAAGTGCTCAATACACATATAAATAAAACTATATGCATTACATTTAAGGGTAAGGGTACATGTACTATTGATAGTCTTTGAGTATGACCAGGCCTATAGACAATGCTATTATGCAATTGACTGGTGCTCATGTTATTGACTTTTAAGATTAAAGGGATCCTATAGTGCCAGGAAAACGAACCCTATTCCTGGCACTATTGGTTTTTGGAGTGCCCCCCTCCCTCGGTGCTGAAGGGGTTAAAACCCCTTCAGCCACTTACCTTAATCCTGCGCCGGGCTCCCTCGGCGACCTCTCTTCCCCCGCCGACGTCAGCTCCCGAGTGGAGCCAAATGCGCATGCGGGGCCAGAGGCACGCACGCATTCAAACCTGCCCATAGGAAAGCATTACTCAATGCTTTCCTATGCGGATCTTTTTTGAAGCTGGACTCCATGAGGATGTCCAGCATCAAATAAGTGCGATTTACTCAGTGTAAATTCATGGAAACGGCCTCTAATGGCTGTCTCCCTGATTAACCCTCAGTGTAAACATAGCAGTTTCTCTGAAATAGTTTTCAGCTGCAGGGTTAAAACTAGTGGGACCTGGCACCCAGACCACTTAATTGAGCTGAAGTGGTCTGGGTGCCTATAGTGGTCCTTTAAAAGGGTCACTTAAGCCTTCCTGGAAAATAAAATAAATTTGAATAGCCACAGAGCTATTCCCTAGTTTATTTCAGACAATTTCATTTTAAAATCATAAATATCTGTACCTCCTTTGCATTCTATCCCACCCTTACTTTGTTTAAAGGGATATTCCACTGCTCAAATACAAAAGAGAAAAAAAAAAACAATTTGGTAACAGGGCATCTGCCAGTGCACTTTGGGCTTCATGTTTTGCCTTGTTTGCCTCATGGAAAATACACAACTGGGTATAGTGGTACACCGGAGCTCTGTGGAGGAGGTCCACTAGCCGCCAAAGGTAGAAGGCCACAGGCTTCACAGTGCAGGGTAAAAAAATGTATTTTTTATGGTTCAAAGGAAAAAATAAAGATACAATGTTTTGGCCATGATGCCTTAATCATACCTTTCACATCACATGACCACAAAAAGAGAAAAAATATCTGTGTTAATATTTATATGTTAATTGTCAAGTTAATTGTCTATAAAGCATGCAACTTACTCAGGTAGTAACAAAATGTTTTTATATATGTAAGAAAATCATAAAACATCAATGCTTTATAATAATGTGTTCCAAAGTCATCATTTATTTAATATTTTTTGTTTAGGATGGATCAAAAATTTATGGCAGATGTGGAGGTTATTGTGGAAAATGTGTCCCCCACTCAAGCATTGGTCTCCAAGTCCAAGTGTAGTGAAAATGAAGACAGATTCAGATTGCTAACATACCAGCTGGCCTCTCCCTGTTCACATATTGTTGGTGTTCAGAAATAATGGGCAGGATACACTGAGCTCTAATATAATCTACCCAACCTGATCCGTCTTGTGATTTGAAAGAGACTTATTGCAAAAATCTATTTTTCATATAAGTGCTGAGTAAGTCAATACACATTTTCATACACTCATTGGCCACTTAAAATACACTTATCTATTTCTGGGTAGAACATACTGTTGCCACCAGTTCCACCTGAATTATTCACAGCATGGAATCAACAAGGTGGTGGAAACAGTACAATGGTGACATTGTCAATACTGACTCTATAAAAAACACAATTCTTCATGGCTTTTCAGCTTCACGGGGTGCTAAAACATCCCATTCCATTTTGTCCCAAAACTCCAACACAGGATCAAGATATGGGGACTATGCAGACCATTGGAACAAACTGAAGTCAATTGGTGTATACTTTATACCATAGAACATTATAGTGCTGGACATATACTGTGGACTATAAGCTATGTACTGTGTCAGCAACAATGCGTATGTGCTCTATGGTAATCAGTTTATGCAAAGTTGATTCTAGCATTGCCAAGAAAACGTTCTCCAAGACATTGTACCACAGTCGCCAAGCTGCACTGTTTACACCAGATATGATTGATCCAAGGCTTTGTGGCAAGTTCTGACCTTGCAACGTGCATGCTATAGCAGAAATTGAAACTTAGTAGAGTAAGTAATATCATTCCTATTATCAATGATCTACCTGCTGTTAGTATAATCCATCCACTTGAAGGTAAGATGACCTTCTATAAACCACTGTTGTAAAGAGTGGTTATTTGAATCTCTGTTGCTTTTCTGTAAGTTCAAACAAGTATGGGCATTAGTGTATTAGCTCTTTCTAGGAAAATACCCATGGTGTACACTGACTACGGTCCCTTTACAATCTCAGGCTAGCTGAGCTATTGAAATGCTAAAACTACCATGTCTAACACCAAACACCATAATATGGTTAAGTCGCTGTAATGGAACACTCTAAACTTTTAAAGTACTTTAGCTTGCAGAAGTACTTTATTAGTTAACAGAAATTAAAGTAATTAGCACTTTGAAAAAAAAGCCACTGGCTCCACCCTCTCGGTTGTCAATTAGGCACAAAGCCGATATGAGACTCCTTATACAGAAACATTGGTTTTGGTGTTTCCCTATTAGAAGGACTGCCAGTGGATCACGGCAATTGCAATTCTTGAAACCCGTTTCCCAGTGTACTAGTGATGATATCCCAGGATTGAGTAGAGCCTCTGGTTTAGAAGATTAGAAGTAAGTAATAGTTTTTTTTTAACAGGGACAAGCACCCAGAAATCTAAATCAACCAGAGCTGTAGTGGACCAGGTCCCTTTGCCCCCAGTGTATATGTATAAATATATATAGCGATTATCGTTACAGTGAAAAAAGTGACATGTGAATGTGTATATTGTATAATGCAGAGAGATTTATTGTTTGGTTATACACCACATGGCCAAAAGTTTGTGGACACATCTATATGAGCTTGTTGGATATCCCATTCTAAAACTATGGTCAATAATCTGTTGTTGCCCTCCTCACCTTTGTGGCTGTATCAGCTGCCACTCTTCTATAAAGACTTGTATTTGTGTCCATTGAGCTCAAAGAGCATTTGAGGTAATGCACTGATGTTAAATGAAATGGTCTGGCTTACAATGGTGTTTCATTTCATCCCAAATATTTTTAATTCTGCTGAGGTCAGGTCTCTGTGCAAGCCACCATCCTCCAAATCTAATTTATCAAACCATGTCTTTGGGGACCTGCCTTGCAGGAACAGAACCTTTGCCAAACCGTTGCCACAAAGTTGAAATAATGTATTTCCATCCTGCAGTATTAACGGGCCGTGTCCAAAGCCTGAAAACCAGCACCAGACCATTAGCTCTTCTCCATTAACTTTGAAGTAGGCACTGTGCGTTAAAGTAGTTAGCATTATCTTTGTGTCAATCACACACAGATCCTTCCATCAGAGTGCCAGAACATGCAGCCTGATTCATCGTTCTCAAGATAGCCTGTGTCCACCCCTCCAGAGTTCAGTAATGGTGTGTTTTACACCACTCCAGCTGACTATTTGCACTGCGCATGTTAATGTGCAGCTTGTGTACAGCTGCTTGACCATGGAAACCCATTTCATGAAGATTCCAATGCACAGTTCTTGTGCTACTGTTGTTTCCAGAGGCAGTTTGAAATGCCATAGTGAGTGATGCAAAAGATGATTGTTCTGTTCTAAACAGTATAACACTCAGTGCCCCTGCTCTGTGAGAATGCATGGTCTACCAGTTGTGATGTTGTTACTCCGAGATGCTTTCAGTTCACAATAGCAGCACTTACAGTTGACCAAAGCAGATATAATCAAGCAGGGATTTCATGGTCTTTCGTGTGACATCTTATGATAGTGCCATGTTTAAACTTACTGAGCTATTTAATAAGTCGTATTGTACTGCCAATTATCGTCTTTGTAGATTAAATGTGTTGAATAATATCTACCTGTTAACAATGAGTGAGGCTTAAATGCCTGAACTGAATAATTAGAAGGTCTGTCCACATACTTTAGACACATAGTATAGTTTTAGCAGTGAAGTATGCCAGTCTTAAATAAACGTTAAGGCATGTTATAGCCAATTAACTTATAAGATAAAATGCAAAGTACATAATTAATACACAACGTTTGCGAAAAAAATAACCTTTCATAAATTAACTGGATACATTAGTATATAGGAACACTCAAGAGTAAAATGACCAATTTTTTTACAGTGTTCTGAGCAGTAGGTGCAGAGTAAGCTAAGGCCAACCACTAGTTTGGTTAATGTAAGTACATACAAAAAAAATACCAAATTCTCTCGAAATGTAAATAAGAACAAAGTCCATTTATTCAGTCTTTTAATGAAAAAAATAAATAAAATGTATATCTCCGATCCTACAAGCGTTTGTTTAAAGTTGTGTCCATATAATAACTTTTGTATGGTCGCTCAGCATTTTTAAAAACAAGCAGATCCAATAAAGGACAAAATAGAAAACAAAAACAAACAACTCATAACATTATATTCAGAAAGCTAAATTAAATTAAGCAAAGTTGGTCAAGTATGAATGTATTGCCTTCTAATACAATCATGGAAGAGCAGAGCAGAGCACACCCCAACGTTTTGGCAAAATGATGTCTGTTTCAAAGAAACAAACTGCACGTGAGAAGTAATTACACATTTAATTTGCTTTTATGAAAAGATTGGAGAAAATACTTTTTTTTAAATTTTACATGTGGAGTGTATTTTTGGCAGCTTTATTTTATAAACTAACTGGATTCGATCAAAGCCAAAAATATTGTAGAATATAAAATCTTTATATTCCAATTGTTGTTTTTTTTTTTATTACATTTTATTACAGAGTACAATGTTTAAACTACAATAAGTGATAGTGAATAATAATAACAAGTAAATAACAGAACATTCTGCGTAGAACAGTAACAAAACTGTATACAACTAATGATTAATAGGAGCAATCGTGATGAATGAGGAACAGTCATGCATAACTATGCCAGAAATGTAGGCAACCAGAGATGAATAAACACGTCTAAGTACAAAAAGAACAAGAAGAATATTTAATCAATTGTTCTGTATATGTGTATGTGTGTATATATAAAAATGACAAAAATGAAATCAACCCATCTCTACCAATTACACGTGGAATCACTACTCTATACCAAGGCTACAAAACCACCTGCTTAAAACATCAATGGTGATATAATAATTATATATATATATATATATATATATATACACATTATCATACGAATTAGCAATGCATACTTTTTCTTGTATATATACACACATATTCATGTACATGTATTTTTGTAGTGACTTACAAACATGTATCTTTTATTCTCTCATGTCAATGAATTACTAATTGTACTGTAAAGGTTGGTTCCAAACATTATCAGGTCTCAGACCGTCCGTCAGATAAGTGATCAAACCACTTGTGACTGCAGCTTCAATGCAATATTGAAGAAACTGCCACCGAGCTGATTGTCACCCAGCCATGTCTTGCAGTTTAGAATGTAAGGTACAATGACATCATTTTAGAGGGTGGAATGTTTTCTGGTAACGTTCAATTTTTGTGGTACTTCACTCTTAGAAGTTGCCTTGGGATTTACCCTTGATCTTGCTAGAACAGACACTGTACTCTCCAGGAGGATTCATACTCTGTGAGTCCAAATCAAGTCCTAAGTTCCCATTTGTATAGAGAGCACTCCATTATTAATCATTTCTATTAAAAGTATCTTTCTGGGGACAAAACTGCATATCCCAAAAAGCACTGCCTAAGTTTATGGTAAGAATGGAACACATTGGCTCCTCATTGGCTGAGCCCAGGGCTGGACTGGGGATACAAAGCAGCCCTGAAAAAAAAATCTATGCCTGCCCCATAAGTCATTGCGTCATGTTGTCACATGTAATATGTAAGGCTATATATATATATATATACATAGTCTTACATATTATATATATTAAATGTTTTACTGTGAAAGGACAATATTTTTTTTTCTAATATAAAATATTGGTCCTTTCAGAGTAAAACATTTATTGTACAGTAAGCATAATCACATGCAAACACAGTCAAAACTGGCACACACAAACTCTTTAATACACAGCTTGATAGACAAACAATCTCACTGACATACATAAACTCATTCTGTATACATAAACTCATTGACATAAAAACACAAGCTCACAGATGCACACAAATAGTCTCACTGACAGACATTCTCACTGACACACACAAACAAGCTTATTGGTATATACACAAACGTAGTACAGACAAACCGACGCGCACAGACTTACTACAGACAAGCTCACTGTCCCACACACACACAAACATGCGGGGAATGCGGCCAAAATTTATGTCAATTTTGAAGGGAGACTGACAGGTCTCCCTTGCGGCCGCCAACAGCCTAATTGCGACCGCACCAGCCCCCAGCTTCTCCCTCATTACTTCCCTCGGACTGACACAGCCTGACACAGTCTGAGAAGAAAATATTTAAACTACAGGAGTCTGATGGTTAGGGCTGTCAGCCTGGCCCCAGGTGCCGTGGCCCACAGGGAAATTTCCTGATATCCTGCTGGGCCAGTCCGGCCCTGGCTGAGTCTTGTACTGCTCTGGTAGGGGTCGGTTTCAAGAAACTTCAAAGGTCATTTTTAAACCCTTTTATCCTTTTTTTTAAATTTAGTGACTATGTGTATATATTACATAATTACACCTATATACTTTATGTAAATAAAAATGTATTAAATATTTACAAAAATGTAAAAGAAAAATATCTATTTATAACCTGAATGATCATAAAATTACTACTTTTCTACTGAAAAATATAAAGTAAATATTTACAAATGTGATTCAGAATTTGTTTAACTTTAGGGCATATTCTCAGGTATTAAAATGCATTTCACGTATGCATTGTCTCTGCCCTGTACTATCTGTCAAATAGTTTTCATTTTGCAAGAACTGGATCGTTGTATTTCATTAGATGAACTATTGTATTGCAATAACCGATAGGTTATTGTGTGGCAGCTGTAAACCTAAAAAATGTTTGAAACTCTGCAATTTGTCCTAAGGATTATTCACGAAACTGGACATTGCAAAGAATTGACAAATAAAGTGCAACGTTTCGGCCACAATAGCTGGAATGGAAAGGTTCTCTGAGTTCTTTTTCCAGCTGTTTTATTTTGGCCTGAAATTGGCAAAGGCCACGCCAGTTCTTCACAAGTCCTGTTTTATTGCGTAAGCCCGTATACAAGGTGCTACATTTTTAATCTAAAATATTTAAATGTGCTGGTTAGCATGTGTTCATCAGAAGAGACATTCATTTGCACTATGTGAATCAATTTGATAGAATACGATTTCCCGTTCTATTGTAGAGAATGTTTGAAATTATATTTGTAAGTTTGTAAGTTATATAAATATTTATGGAACATCATTCTACGTGTTTGTGATTTTTCTTACACAACCAATGTTTCTAAAAGTGTCAATTGCTGTACGTGAAAAATGCAGGTTCCAAGATTTAATCAGGATATCTTTAGAGGACGGAGAATCTTTGGATCGCCCTGGTTATCCACCCATGTTATCACTATATATATATATATATATATATATACATAATTACTTTATGAACTCAGTTTTGCACTTATTTTTTGTATGTACGGAATTCAGCCTCAAGGATTTGGTGGTTTCCATCACAGGATGGTCCTACGGATGTTTCCCAATGAGCAGTGTGGTCAATGACAGAGTAAGATTGACTCCTACTAGAGATGTCGCGTACCGTTCGCGAACTTCTCGCGAATGGCTCGCCACGGTTCGCCACGAACCGTTCGCGGCGAGCTCCGGTCAGCTGACACATCCCGGCCAATCTCCAGCAGACCCTCCCTCCCAGACCCTCCCACCTCCTGGACAGCATCCATGTTGAAGTTCGCGACATCTCTAACTCCTACCTGTAAATGTATTGTGATATCCTGTGAATTCTAATTATTATTATTATGATTATTGGTATTTATATAGCGCCAGCTTATTCCAAAGCGCTTTACAATAATAGGGGAATTTACCAAATGAGACAATAACAAAATGTAACAGGAACACTATAGGTAGTTGGGGACCCTGCTCAAACGAGTTTACAATCTAGAGCAGGGTTGTCAAACATGCGGCCCCCCAGATGTTGCTGAACTACAACTCCCATGATTCTTTCAATGAAACAGATAGCCAGGGAATCATGGGAGTTGTAGTTCAGCAACATCTGGGGGGCCGCATGTTTGACACCCCTGATCTAGAGGATCAAACGTGTATTGCAAACCTACGTTTAAAAGATGAAGAGGCTAAAGATTTAATCTACAAACTCATCTCTTTAGGAAGTTTATCAAGCAATTGTGTAATTCTCTCACACCAGGCTCCTGTATGATTTCCCTCTCAGATGCAAGCTTCACATTTGGCAGTCTTTCTTCACATTTGGATATTTTTGCTCTTTAACACTTGAATTTTTATACCTGACTGTCGCTAGATCTTGGGAAGCCAAAAGTAGATCCAATTCTATTATAGAACTGCAACCTCCCCTGAAGCTGTTCCAGTGTTAAGGCAGTTTTTATGATTTTGGTATTAATTTCAGAAAGCTAAATGTATATACAAAGCTGGGACTGAAGGGGTCAGTGTATATAAAATACATGTTTGTTCTTCAGCCAGACATGAGCCAGAACAGCTGCCTTTATTAAAGCATAACACAGACACATAAATACTGCATGGCTTGATCTCTACCTTTGTACAAGGATACATTTATCAGAAACAGAATGCGTTTTGTTATTTTATTGCCAATTTCAACAAACCTAACATGGGATCATCCAAGCCAGTGATTATAAAACTATTGTGAATTTACATTTAACACATATCGTTTGAAAGTCAATCAGCAAAAAAATTTATATTAGATGTAATCAATTATCTATTTTTTTAGTTAGGAAAAAGTCCAAGAATGATTTGATATCCAATGTGTAACAAACAATTACATAAATTAGCATTCAAGTGGAGGGTTTGATGAACTGAAACATATACACGAGAACAGGTACAGTGCAATCACTAGTTTTAAGATTTAATTAAAAAATATATATTTTTATATAATTCCTTAAATTAAGGGATATTCACTTCTAGCCCTACAGTGTCCCTTTAACTTAATCATGCCAGGATATGAACTAGTCTTTACATGTATGTATGTGTGTGTATAAATGCAGAGCAGGATTAGGGTCTATGGCCCAGGGTTGTTAATGGACCCCAAATCCACGAATATGCTTAGCCCCATTAACAAGCTCTATGTGAAAAATGAAGGAGGGAGGACCCAAACTGGTAAGCAACTTTGTTATTATTATTATTATTATTATTATTATTATTATTATTGCGCTTTACAATATTATGAGAAGGGGGATTTAACTATAAATAGGACAATTAAAAGAAAACTTACAGAAATGGTAGGTTGAAGAGGACCCTACTCAAACGAGCTTACAGTCTATAGGAGGTAGGGTATAAAACACATTCTGACAGGAAATAGCAATCAAATAAGGTGGGAGTGAAGCAGAACTGGAGGAGAGAGTAAAGTGTTGCCCTTTAGGAGAGAGCAAGAGACAGGTATGTGGAGTAGAGGTTACTCTGGGAGGCCATAAGCTTTCCTAAAGAGATGGGTTTTAAGGCACTTCATAAATGATTGAAGACTAGGGGAGAGTCTGATGGTGGTAGGCAGGCTGTTCCATAGGAAGGGAGCCACCTGCGAGAAGTCCTGCAAGCGTGAGTTAGCCGTACGGGTGCGAGCAGCGGACAGGAGATCCCCATGGAATCTTAATCCGTCTCTGTGAGTGTATGAGAATCCATAAATTCAGCCACATTTTTTTTTGTAATAAAAAGAGAATTGGCATTTTTTTTATGTTTAGACTAATATATCCAAAGGGGAAATGTCATATCCCTGAAAATATGTCATGATCAGTTCTCCACAATTCCAAATTTAGAGAATAAACCCCTTTTCCTGCACTGAGAATGATTTGCCAGTGTCTTGTACACAGGAATCCTAAAATCTGGCCCCCAGATGTGTATGGCCTACAACTACCAGAATTCTTTTGATGCAGTAGATGGTAAGAGCATCATGAATGTTGTAGTTTGGCAATATCTGGGGGGGCCAGAGTTTGAGAAGCCTGGATTAAAAAGTTGCTGAATGCAGTATTTTGTATGCAAGTAATTTCCAGACACTAGGCAGAGCTTACAAACCCATACACATGAACTAAAACATACAGAAGTACATGTTTTCTTAGAATCACCATGAGATAACATTCTTTCAAGCTTTTAAGTCTTTCGAAAGGAATGCCATACATTTCTCAGACCACATAAACATAAAATCTCTTACAATGTAAACTCAAACATTTAATTTCTTTGAAGATTTCCTTGTCAAAACAACCGTAAAATTTAAATAAATAATAATAATAAAAAAAAACATTCGGTAATGGAGAACATATCTCTTTTTTGTTTTTATATCACATTACTACCTACACCACTTATTACTGAAAGTGATTTTGTTCCATTAATATTTATTTATGTATTGAACAATTCAGACAGGAAAGTTATCTTAACAAAAATGTGACTGTTTTTGAGTAGATAGTAATGATTTCATCGCTCGGTCTGGTCGCCATCTGAGTCAATAAAAGAATGATCATCGTGAGTTCAGGTACGAAGACTTTCTAGTCTAGAAAACCAGATGAGATGTATTCAGTAAACCAGGAGCAAGACTGACTAAGACACTGCAAATTTTAGGCTGAACTAACCAGGCATAAAACATTAGCTGTAGCTATTTTGGTTTAAAAATTGTTCCCTTATTATTTGCAAGTGTGTGAACATATAATTAGTAAGATTCAGGCCACGCAATCTATGTTAAAATGTACAGCTTTTGTTTTGCACATGTTGATTGAAAATCTTTATTAACCTTTGCAGCTAATTCTCCAGTTATACATCTGGGTTAACTCTGTGCATTTAGTATTTTAGCATATTTCGTCAAGAGAAAACTTGTGAACTTCTTTGAGATGTCATCCATGTATTACTATAGGGAGAGATGTTGAGCACTTTCATATTGCAGATTTGAAAGAATAAAAAAAAGATGTGAATTTTTAAATTGGACACGTCTTTCTGAATTACTGAGGACTGCTGTATGCTGCTTGCTAATGAAATTAATCTCATGATGAATTGTACCATCATGTTAGAGCATTCTGATAAGTGAGTTTGTATCTATATTATATCAATGTCAAGTTAAATATGGACTGCAGATTAGTGGTTTTGAACATACTGGGAGGTTGAATGGTATACGCCTTTGATTTTTCAGTTTAGTTAATAGCTTGGAGTAATCGTCATTGAAGATAATTTATTTCATGCAGATTATTATGGATATCTTTTCAGGTAGTGGTGAGATAATTGGGGATCTGGTCAAATAAACAAGCTGGGGCAGGAGTTTCTGAGACAGTATAACTAAGGAGTAGAGCTAAAATAAACTGAACTATGTAGGACACCTGTTAAAGAGCCAGAACTGTGTCCAAGTACTGAGGAGAGGCGAGAATGGCTTTTCTTAAGTCCTTCCTCAGTTAAAGGACCACTATAGGCACCCAGACCACTTCAGCTTAATGAAGTGGTCTGGGTGCCAGGTCCAGCTAGGTTTAACCTTTTTTGCAGTAAACATAGCAGTTTCAGAGAAACTGCTATGTTTACCTATGGGTTAATCCAGCCTCTAGTGGCTGTCTCTTTGACAGCCGCTAGAGGCGCTTCCGCGCTTCTCACTGTGATTTTCACAGTGAGAAGACGCCAGCGTCCATAGGAAAGCATTGATAATGCTTTCCTAAGAGACTGGCTGAATGTGCGTGCGGCTCTTGCCGCGCATGCGCATTCAGCCGATGACGGAAGAAGAGGGAGGAGAGTCCTAGCGCCGAAGGAGTACGGCGCTGGAAAAAAGGTAAGGGATTAACCCCTTCCTCCCCCTTCAGCGCCATGGGAGTGGGACCCTGAGGGTGGGGGCACCCTCAGGGCACTCTAGTGCCAGGAAAACGAGTATGTTTTCCTGGCACTATAGTGGTCCTTTAAGACTAACAGATTCTTGTAAAAGATCAAGAAAAAAAGTGACTTGTGCATCGATTTTACGAGCAGGTGATAAGCTTCGCATAGCTTGGCCAAGTCTTGTTAAAATAAATTGAGTGTGCAGCATCAACCATTCTGTTGTGACAAGTAGATGACACTTGTAGGTTATTCATAAAATTGAGAACACGGGATTATTGACAAGGGAATTGCAAGCTTAAGACCAAAGTAGCCAAATAATAAAAAAACATCTACACATCAGCTATTTTTCAAGCTATTTTTTTGGACAAGAATGTTCCTAGTCAGTTTGCTACAGTTCCCTGTTTAGTGAGTAAAGTCTAAAGAAAA